ATGGCCCCACACGCCCCCAGGACCGATGGGGACACAGGCCGGGGGCGGGAGGGGCAGCCGGGCTCTCACTGTGTGGTGGCCCGTGTCCAGCCCTCGGCTCGTGGAGTCCCTGGCCCGTGGCATCGGCCATCAGGCCAGACCCGGCCACGGCAGGCCTGGCGGGTGGGGGTCCAGCCAGCCCACTGCTTCCTCACCGGCCCCCTTGTCTCTGCAGTAAGTCCTGTGCAGTCACTGACCTGGAGCGGAGCGCCTGCTGCTGCCCTGGCCGCTGCCTGGAGGCACTGCCCACCCTGCTCAGCCCAGAGCTCGGGAGACGCCCACCTGGCCTCCGCTCGCCCTCGTCCTCCCCTCGACGACGCCGACGCCCGGGCTGCAGAGCGATCCCACCCGGGCTGCCCACCCAGCCCCGGCTCCCCGTCAACTACCTGCGCCTGATACTGTGAACCCTCCTGAGTTTCCAATCATGTATTTATTTTGGGTCCTTGTTCTTTGCACAGAGGGGGCAGCACACGTGTGTGTGTGTTTTATAGAAAAAGAAAAAGGAAAAAAAACCCACAACGGAAAAGAAGAGACTCCATTCCACTGCACTTCTATTCTGTGCTGTGCTTGCATGTCTTGCTGAGGGAGCAGGCCCTCGGCTCTGGGGACCTGCGTCCCAGTGGCTCTGGCGCCCCAGCTGGAATCCACTCGAGTCCCAGCCGGGATGGACGGCTGCCTAGGACGGAAAGGCCGCGGGGTCCCTGTGGGTCCCCAGGGCACCTCTGGAGGCCGCCCACGGTGCCTGCCAGGCCCTGAGCTGGACACCGTCCTTGAGGGGGTGGTCTGCACCCAGCCGCCCCTGCCAGCTGTGTCTGTTTCCGCCACCTGCCTCCTGGTGACCACAAGCTGGACTCTCCCACCAAGACTAGAACCTCCACGTGGACTCACAGCTGCCCCATGTCGGTGGAGCTCAGAGCTGTGGGCTTCTCTCTCCAGAAGACAGTTCTGAGCCCTGGGAGGAGGCGGCCAGGCCCTCGGGCTACGGGATGTCCAGAGAGCTGTGTCCTGGAGTAGAGCCCCCGCAGTCAGGCCTCCCAGCCCAGAGAAACAGACCCCTCTCCAGTAAAAGGCCCCCAGGACTGAGGTGGGCAGCCTCTCTTTTAAATGATGGTGACATTGGTGCAGACTAAAGGATAGGGTAAGGAATTCTTATGGAAAACCAGTTGTTTTTGGATTGTCATCTTCAGCAGCAGCAGCCCCTCTTGGGCCCAGAGCCTCTCAGGGTGGTCGCCGGGAGCCCCCACTGTGTCCACAGGGGGCTGACAGCTTTGCAGGGTCTCTCCCGCCTCCTGAGATGACACATCAGAGATGGATTCCCCCTGCCACTTGGCTTAACCCCACTCGGCCTGCATGGGTGGAGCTGGGAGCCAGCTCCGAGTGGAGGCGACACCTGCTGGAAGAATTCTCCCCACCTGAGACAGCTGGAGAAGCCACCAGTCTAGGAGCTTGGATTTTTCAAGTCTGATGCAAGTTCACGCACCACTGTCCTGCTGTGCGGGCCCCTCTTTGCCTCCCCTCACACTGCCCGCTTCGTATGCCTGGAGGGCCCACGTCGGCCCCCTGGAGAATCAGGCCGTGCCCCGGGGACAGCACCCTGGCTCTGAGCAGGGCCTCCAGGGACACAGCTGGGGAAGAGGACCCAAAGAGGACCTGTCAGAACAAGCCTGCAAGGGTCCCAGACTAGAAGCAAAACTGTGTCCTCCCCTCCTGCCAAGGAGAGGTGTCCGCACCCCGGAGTGTCCTTCGCCCGGACTTCACCAGTCCATGCCTGCCCTGCCCTACCTGCCGAGGTGGGAGGCAGGCTGAGTGGGCCAAGGTCTGAAGGTGACTAAAGGGGACTGTTGTGTCACCCAGATGCCAATACTGAAGTCCCCACCCAGCTCCCAGCGTCCGGGCACAGAGACATGGTGAGTCCTTTGGGGACAACCAGAGCAGCAGGCCCCACGCCCAGGTCATCCTCTGCCACCTGGAGCCTCGGGCACTCAGCACCCCGGGCTTCCCTGAGTGAATCCCAGAGCAAAGTGTTGGTCAGAGGCTGACATGGAGCAATTTGCAAACCTCTTGGATATCATGACATTTAACTTTCGCTAAGTCACGAACACCCCTTTGGAACCCTGCTTTGTGTTGGTTGCATTCTTTGTCCCTTTTCAGAGAACTGTCATATGGATGCAAAGTGGTCCCTGGACCGGGCCGGCGGAAGGCATGTGCTTCTGTTCAGGGCAAGGGTGGGAAGGCAAGATCTTATTTATAACGTGCAGCGAACTCACGGCCTTCCCGAGGCCCTCCGCAAGGAGGGCCCTGGACCCACCCAGCTGTCTCACCCCGCCCCAGGATAGTAATCTGTCAGCTCTTCCGTGGCGATGCGCTGATTCCGTCCTGGCTCGTCCCTGACGGCTGCTGTCAGTAACATGGGCACTGTCTGCATTGCCGTACTTACTGTAAAAAGGAAAGGCATTTTCTGAGACTGACAAGGTGGAGCCTCCCATGTGTCCCCTGCCAGCCTCCGTCCTCTGCCGCCTCTCGCCCCCTCCCTCCACCACCTGGCTCAGTGCAATACTCCTATCCTGGCGGGGTCCCCTGCCATGGTACTGTCGCCGCAGCCCCTCGGTCCCCAGCCCAGGACGAGCACCCTCAGCCGCCTTCTCTGGTGGTTCAGTTGCATCACCTGTCCCCACCCCAACCTCATTTTTATGGCCGAACTGATTTCGAAACACAATGAAACTGCAAACCTTGTGTGTCTTAATTCTCACCGGGGGTCCCGTGTGCTCAGCCCCCGTGGTCTGGTGTGTGACAATCCGGAGCACAGCCTCCTCGGGCACAGGATGCCGTCCCGCTCAAACCCAGAGCCGCGGGCGCCTCTGTAACCCTGCAGCCCCTGCTGGCCCCGTAACACCCATATGCAGCCTCAGACCCCCACCCCAGCCCAGCTGCCTCCCTCTTTTTACGTTGAAGAGATCTCTCTAATAAATCGGGTAATAAGCATCAGCCGCCTCTTTCTGCTTCTCTGCACATTCTTGTGTTCTGGGTGGGAGTTTAAGGACTGAGTTTGAGAGCAGAAAGAAGCCTTAGCAAGAATCAAAATATTTAAATAACAGCAATGAACCCAAATGCCTCAGTAGCCATGGCCTCCTTTGGGTTTCAGTTCAGTTTGGAAAAACTTTTTTTTTTTATTTTATTATTGAAGTGTGGTCAGTTTCAGAAAAACTTTTAAAAGCTGACATCAGTGCAGCCCAGCCCAAGGGAACAAACGCTCTCCGGAGTATGTTTTTGTCCTGCCAGAGTCACTCAAATGGACGAATGCACAGACCCCTTTTAAGGGGAAAATATTTCTCCCAGACTGCGAATTTGAGAAACGTTGTGTTGAAAGTAAGATCTTGTCTGTCAGCAAGCCCTTGGGAACCCAATTTTAATCACAGCCGCAGACACAATTTATACACTAGGCTCATGGGTCATCTCGAGTGCACTCGCCTCGCGTTCAGAGATGAGTATTCAGATGCTCTCAAGGATGCATCTGCACTGTGAAAATCACGTTGCAGGCCATCCAGTCACCAGGACAGCCCACATCTCATGACAGTTATCAAGGGGTCCCTCCTGCCACCACTCCCACCTGCACCTCGGCACCAGCTGAGCATATTAAGTTAGCATTTAGGGTGGTGTTAGCAAGGTGTATTATAAAGTAAAGTGTTGTCTTAAGATATTAAGTACTATCCTTTGGGGTGGACTAGGGGAGCTCAGAGCAGGACTTCGGGGTCCTTCAGATCCCAGGTCTCCACTCTTGCCCCGGTGTGGTCTTGCCTCTGCCCACCTGCTCTGTAGGGACTCAGCCTAGCAACCCTTTTCATCCCTCTCTGCTCAAAGCCCTCCCACGGTTTGCCAGCACCCGCAGGACAAAGCTGGACCACCATGTTCAAATCCCAGCTCCACGCTGCCTTATTGGGGCGAGAGGGAAGGTGTTAAAGTAACTGTCCCTCTCAGCCTCAGTTTCTCCATCTGTAAAATGGGGTTGATGGGGAATTTAAGGAGTTACTCAAGTACTTTTCTCTTTCAGCTTAACCCCTGAAACACACAGGTATTCATCGGCGGGTGGTGGAGCATGATGGTGACTCTCACAGAAGGTCAGCTCAACATCTAAGGCTTTTCTGCTTCTGTCCCAGCTCCCACCCCTCGCCTCCTTGAGCAGCCCTGATTCTAATCTACGCTCTGGAGGGTTCCCCGCCTCCACAGGCCGCGAGATCTCGCTTCCCGGACACGCCTCCCTTGGTCCCGCCCCGGGGCCCCGCCGTCTCTTGATCCCTCCTCCTGGACCCCGCCCATGCCGGCTCCACTTCCTCTCTTTACAGGCTTCTCGGCCCCGCCTCCCCAGGCTCCGCCCCACTGACAGTTCCTGGTTCGCCCTTGCTCCGCCCACAGCTCCTCTGGCTGCCTGAGGCGCGAGGCCCCATCTGGGGCTGCCCTTAGTACTGCCTGAAGAGCGAGTCCCCAACCCTGGCGGCGACAGTCCGGCCGGAGCCCATCACGCAGGCCCTGTTTAAGGGCCGTAGAGAGGTTATAGGGGATCGGAGTCCGCGCAGGATGGGCGTCTGGATGGGTTCCTATCTCCTTGCTCAGGCGTGGATGGGGCAGCCAGGCACGCGCCGCGAGCGAGGAAGGCCCCCGGCACAGGCCCCGGATATTTGTGTCAGCGCCCCCGCCGCCACCGTCCCAGCCGATGGGTCGGGACACACGTTCGCGCTCACGGTCGGCCGGTCGCAGGGGCCGAAGGCAGCGGAGTCGGAGCCGAAGTCGGAGCAGAAGCCATGGGCGGCGAAACCGGCGGCGCCGGGATGACGAGGGGCGGCGCAGGCGAAGACGGAGGAGCCGGGAGCGCAGGTAGGATCGTTGTGTGAGCCGCGCTGAGGATCCGGCTCTAGCCCTCGGAGAGCTAGGAGACCCTCGAGTTAGTCACGGAGGACTTCCTGAAGAAGGGGACGTCTGAGCACGAGTCGGAATTAACCAGGCAGTGAAAGGAAAGCGAGAGGCGTTTCAGGCAGGGCACCTGATGGTTGCAGGTACAGCAAGAAGCGCAGTGAGCGAGGCGAAAAGGGAGTAGATGAGGTCGGAGAGGAAACGGGCGACCAGATCGTGCAGTCTTGCGTACCGTCGTGAAGGGTTTGATTGTTATGTGGAGGGAGTAGGGCGCTGTGGAGGATTTTGAACCAGGGAGTGCTACGGTTTGGATTACCTTGCAGAACTCCTGCTGGTTTCGCTTGGACTGAGAGGGTAGGCAGGAGTGACACCAGGGAGGAGGAAGATACTACCATTGTCTAGGCAACAGAAGATGATGGCCTTCAGGAGAGGGAGGCTGAGGGGAGGTCCAGTGGGAAACTGAGTAGATTTGATAGGAATTTCAGAAGCAGAAGTGTCACTTGCTAACAAAGGAGGGATGTGAGAGAGAAGAACTGTTGATGGTAGGTGGCAGGACTCAGTTGACTCCTAGGACTTGGGGATCAGCTTCCCCTCGGCCCACAGCCCTATTTTTTCTGAAGATGAGGCACCTGGCCAGACTTTGCTTGAGTCTGCTCCAGCACAAAGGAACCAGAACCGTGATAGGCACTGACTCTCAGACCTGCGTCCCAGTGCTGGCTCAGCCCATAACTGACTGAAACCCAGGCCAGTCCCTGCCCCGCTGTGGCCCAGGTTTCCTCATCTGTGTCCTCCGGATGTCCGTGGAGCCTCTCCAGGCATGTGCTATCTTCCATCCCTCCAGCCTGTCTCCACACCATAGCCACAGTGGCTGTAGTCAGACATAGCTAATCACCCTCTAGGTTGAGAAAGTGACCTTTCCTTTTGAGTCTCATAAGATCATTCCCACCCAGGAATTCCTGGAAGATATAACCAGCAGAAATAGTAAAGAGATGGCTTAAACCAGGGCTTGGCAAACCACGATCTGTGGACCAAGAATAGTTTTTATATTTTTTTTTTAGTTTTTATATTTTTAAACGGTGAGAAGAAAAGTAAAAAGAATAGTATTTCATGACACGTGAAAATTATGTGAAATTCAAATTTTGGTGTCCAGAAATAAAATTTTATTGAACAAATTTATGCCCGTTTGTTCATGTAACCTCCGTGACCACCTCTGCAGTGCGACAACAGAGCTGAGTGGTTGTGCCCGAGACTGTCGAGCTCTTTACAGAGAAAAGTTTGCTAGCTCTGGGTTAAGTCCCTGGTGTTGATGTTTTCTCATTGATTCATGTGTAGCAGTAAGTCTTGTTATCATCTTTGAATTTTTTTTCATCTACTGTTTCCTATGGTTTTAATTATTCATAAGAACCAGCCACCCTAGATATATCATTAGAGCCAGTGTCATTTATGAAGATTTGACCAGATTTGTAGTTTGTGTCTAAGGACTCCAAAATAATTGGGTTTTGTGATGTAGATCTTTTTGATGTGAGCTTAACAGGTAGAGCATTTAACAAAATAAAGGCAAATTTAGTTGTTCAAAGTCCCCCAACATTAAAGAATATGATCTTGAGACTCTATCCCTTCCCTTCCCTTCCCTGCTTACAGTACCCTTCCATGGTTCTTTATCCCTGTCGATACTACACCAGTTCACTCCTGTAGGACAGTTAAACACCACTTCTTCCTGTAAGCCCTCCCTTGACACCTTGGACAGAGCCTATAGCTCCTGCACCATCAGGGAGCCCACCTCCCTGCCGTCCCTCCCTCCTGCCCTCCCCCTCGCTCCCTCTGCTTCAACCACACAGGCCTGATTGCTGCTTCTTGAATATGCCAAGCAAATTCCTGCCCCAGGGCCTTTGCTCTTGCTGTGCCCTCTCCCTGGATCACTGTCTCCCCAGATCTCCTCATGGCTTCCTTTCCCACTTCCTCCAGTGTCACCGCCTCACGGAGATCCTCCCTGACCTCCAGGTTCTAATGCTACCCACACTCTTTGTGGCTCATGGCACCATCTGGTCTCACACTGTGTGTTTACTTGTTGATGTAAGCCCCACAAAGCAGGGGCCATCAATGTTTTGATCACTACTATATCCCCTGAACCTCAAACAGCTCCTGGCATGCAGCAGGCGTCCAGGAAACAGCTGTCGAACAGTTGCCCGACTGGCAGTCGGTGTTCCCTCCGCAGGTCGGATTCAGATGAAGAGCGGTGGCGGCAGCGGCGAGGCAGGCAGAGCCGGAGCCCCCCACTGCCCCGATGGCGCGTGCAGGACGGGTCCTCTCAGTCCGACTCGGGTGATGACCGGCAGCAGCAGCAGCGGGGCCGATGGGCCCACCGCCGCCGGCGGGCGCGCTCCTGGTCCCCAGGCTCCTCCACATCCGGCTCTGCGTCCCCAGACTGCTCTCGGAGCCCCGGGGAGGCGGCGGCAGCCCTGAGCCAGCAGCAGAGCCTGCAGGAGCGGCTTCGGCTGCGGGAGGAGCGGAAGCAGCAGGAGGAGCTGATGAAGGCCTTCGAGACGCCCGAGGAGAAGCGCGCCCGCCGGCTGGCCAAGAAGGAGGCCAAGGAGAGGAAGAAGCGGGAGAAGATGGGCTGGGGCGAGGAGTACATGGGCTACACCAACACCGACAACCCCTTCGGCGACAACAACCTCCTGGGCACCTTCATCTGGAACAAGGTGAGCCCAGCGGGGCCACCGGCCGTTCCGTGCTGGCACCGTTCCCGTCTCCTGGTTCTTGCTTCATACACTATTGACGCATTCTGTTTTAAAAGACATTATTCAGCATTGCCAGCACACGTTCCCAGGTTGTACCTTGCCATTCGCAGTGATTTCACACACGCACATGCCAGCTTCTGTGGTGCTGACTGTCTCCTGCGGTGTCGCATCTCAGGCACCCTGGGCCCACAGACTCAGCCTGGCCTCAGGTGTGCCTGGAGAACAGGTTCTCTGCATCACCGCCCGCCCATGGGATCCCACAGTCTCAGATGCTCAGTCAGCTCAGAGCTGTCACCTCATTCCCGAGATGAAAATCACACACCAGTCGCTTCCCTGCCAGCCATGGCCTTGGGCACGTGGCTTAAAACAGCAGAATGTCCCTCACCGTTCTGGAGTCCAGAAGTGCAAAATCAGGGTGTCTGCAGAGCCACGTTCCTTCCTTCTAGAGGTTTAGGGGAGACTCTTTCCTGCCTCTTCCAGCTTCTGGGAGTTGCTGGCCAGCCCAGCTGCATCCCCCACCGTCTCTGCCCCTGTTGCCACATGGCTGCCTTCCCTCTGCGTCTGTGTCTTCATGGGCGTTCCCTTGTCTGTGTCTGTGTGTCCCGATTTCCCTTCTCTTGTAAGGATGCCAGGCATTGGATTAGAGCCCGGGCTTATCCGGTTTGACATCAACTAATTACATTTGCAGAGACCCTGTTTCCAAATCAGGTCATCTTCACAGGTTCCGGGTTTTGGGACATGGACATACCTTTTTGGAGGTCACAGTTCAACCTGGCACAGTGTGGGAGGGTGAGAGCAGGCGGGCACCAGCAAAGTAAAGGTGTCTCCCGCTTACCACACATGCTCCAGGCACAGATCCTTGCCACTGTGTTGAAGACACGGAGCTCATCCTACCTCAGGGCCTTTGCACTCACCATTCCTTGCCTGGAACACTCCCCAGCCCTTTCCACGGCTGCTTCTTACTCAACCTTCAGATCTCAGGTTCCATGTCCCCCCCCTCCTCTGAGAGGCCTTCCTGGCCCCCGTGGTCCCCTGGGTCCTGGTGTTCTTTATCAAGGTACCGCCTCTTCCTTCCTAGTGCTTTACTAACAAGCCCGTGAATCACAACCTTGCTGGGTACCAGATTCCATGTGGGCCCTGGGCGTGTGTCAGGGAGCAACAGAGACCAAGATCCCTGTTCCCGTGGGGCCAGCAATCTGGTGCGGGAGACAGGCTGTAAATAAGTGAATTGGCTGAGTCCACAGAGGAGAGAACGAAGGCTTGGGGGCAGGAGGAGGGCACGGTGGCTGTAGTTGAAATACGCAGCTCCAGAAAGGTCTCTTTGCAAAGGTGACGTCTAAACACACGTCTGCTTTATACGGTGCATTTCCTGCTGGACTGTGAGCTTGTGGGCCAGCTCTGTCCCCAGGCCCTGGCACACAGTAGGTGCTCTCTAAATGTCGAATGAATGAGCTGGTCTTGAGAGGTCTCCTGGTCCGGAGGCCTTCATCGGCCCTCCTGAGAGAAGCACGTGGGGGTCAGCCCCACTCAGCCGCTGAGGCCTCTCTAGTTCTGGTGGCGTCACATGTCTTACCCCCAAGTCCTCGAGGCAGCTGGGCAGGTGGGGTGGGCAGGTGTGAAGCTGCACAGAAACATGCCTGTGCACCTGGCGTGGCTCAGAGGGCGCTCTGTGTGTCCATCTGCACATCAGCCCACCTTGCTGCAGCCTTGTCAGCATCAGGACACTGAGCTGGTCATGAATGGCAGGCCTGGGACTTGAACCAGGCTGTCCGGCTCCCTGTCTGGGCCCTCAGCTCCTATTCCTTGTGGCTGGAGACACAGGGAGCGTGGTCATTGCCCACCTGTGTAAAACATGGTGCCCGGCCCAGGCCAGGGCTGGGGAGGCTGAGGAGCCACAAAGGTCCCAAGGGGTGGCCCCAGGCCAGGCAGCCCTGGGTCACACTTGAGGTGCGTGTTTTCCATGTGCGGGGATCCTTGAGCACCCCTCGGAGCCAGGGGAGGTGACAGGAAGTACAGGGCTCGCAACTGCACGGGCAATGACTGTAAGATGATGCTGGGAGGGGTGGGGGGACTTGAGGAGCCAGTGCCCCAAGCACCCTCCAGCAGGTGAGGACAGGGACGGGGAGGGCCTGCGCGCTGTGCCCAGGGTCTGAGTGGGGCAGCTCTGCCTTCGCTCATCATGGGCCCCGCCAGTGCGCCTTTGTAGCCTTCTTGTTCAGTCGCTGGTTCTGCCTCTCCCCGCAGCAGCCCGGGGTCCGACCTGCTGAGGCCAGTGCAGCTGGGCTTCTGTGTAAAACAAGAGTCAGCAGGTGCAAGTAAGGCTCCTGTGTGTGAGATTCACGGATCCTGCCAGGGCTGGGGAGCTGCTGCTTCTCTGTGTCTCAGTGCACGTCTCAGGGCAGAGGTCGGGGTGCTCCTCACTGTGGAGCATGTTGAACTGATTCTGTAGGCAGTAAGGCGTTCGTGTCTTCCATGGAAGCTGGGCGGTGGCCGTGGGCAGGGCTCTTCTCTCAGCCCTGCCCTCCTTATGCAGATGCTCTGCCTGGTGGGTCTCCATCTCCGAGACCGTGGTCCTGGGGAGGGTGGTGGGAGGGAGGTGTCCCTGCTCAGTAGGCTGTGGTTACCCTTCCAGGCCCTGGAGAAGAAGGGGATCAGCCACCTGGAGGAGAAGGAGCTGAAGGAGCGGAACAAGAGGATCCAGGAGGACAACCGGCTGGAGCTGCAGAAGGTGGGGGCACCCCGGGCCACCGCGCGGGGCCAGACGCCTTCTCCCCTTCCCTCCTGAGGGCTTAGGGCTGGCTCGCCCTGGCTTACGTTGAGGGGGGCCTGATTGGGTTACGTGGAAAGTCCAGGGGTCATTGGCTTCAGGCACAGCTGGATCCGGGGGCCCAGGCAGTGACTCCAGAGAGCTGTTTCCCTCCACCTCAGCTCTGTTAGCCTCTGGGATTTGCTCTGAGACGCTCCCTGCAGGGTGGCTGAAGTGGCCACTCCAGGCTCCTGTGTCTCGAGCAGAAGACAGTCCCGTCTGTCCCCGGGGTCTGTCCAGAGCCTCAGGCATCCCTGGACCGATTCCTGTGTCTGGGGCCAGGAGGCTGTGGCCAGACCTTGGTTATAGTCCCACCTTGACCCTAGGGAGCCCCAGGGCTTGAGAGAGCATGGGGCAGACCCCACGGGAGCCCCGTCATGTGCTGTCCTGCCCTCATCCTCCCGGACACCCCCAGGTGAAGCAGCTGCGGCTGGAGCGGGAGCGGGAGAAGGCCATGCGGGAGCAGGAGCTGGAGATGCTGCAGCGGGAGAAGGAGGCGGAGCACTTCAAGACGTGGGAGGAGCAGGAGGACAACTTCCATCTCCAGCAGGCCAAGCTCCGGTGCGGCGGGCGGGGCCCCACCCCCAACCCCCTCCTGGACCCCAGCGCCCGGAGCCTGTTCCCCCCGCTGCCCCCTTGCCCGTGAATTTCCACCCACCACCTCTTCAGGGTCCCTCCCTGACCCCTTTCCGGTGCCTGCCCCTGCCTCGTGCTTGCCACCTTTCCTTCTGGTTTCTTCATCGCACCCACCGCCCCCCGGGGCCGGGTGCTGAGGGGCATCCGACCCCGCTACTGGTAGAGGTGCGCGTGTCCAGCCAGCACTGACTGACTAGGCCCTCTCCACCGCTGGCCAGCCCCATTTACAGATGGGGAAGTGAGGCTCCTGGGGTGTCATGAGTTGCCCAAAGGCACGTGAGGTGTCTGAGCCCTGGGCCTGGCACCTGCTCGCTGTGCTGTCCGCAGCCGCACCAGCCCCCAGGGGCTCAGACCTGCCTGGGCACGGGCCTACCTGCGGTTGAACCAGGGTCAGCCTCTGATGTGCGTCCCTGAGGCTCCGGATCTTTCACCCAGGTGGTCTGTCTGCTGGAAAGGGGCGGTCCTCTCTGTTCCTCTGTCCTGCCCACCTGCTGCTCTTCACACCCACGCTTGCTCCTGCCTCTGCCCCTTGTGGGGCCTGTGTCTTCTTACTGACCTGTCTTCCTCCTCCACTGATGCCCCCCCTTCCAGGAAGCCTTCCCTGTCCACCACCCACTGCGGGAGGGACTCCACCCCTGGCTCCTGTGCCAGTCAATCCCCAAGGGCAGAGTCTTCAGGAGGGCGATCCCACCCCCGGCTCTGACCCTGCCCCCGGCTCTCTGGCAGCTCCAAGATCCGCATCCGAGATGGGCGGGCCAAGCCCATCGACCTGCTGGCCAAGTACATCAGCGCCGAGGACGACGACCTGGCTGTGGAGATGCACGAGCCCTACACCTTCCTCAACGGCCTCACTGTGGCCGACATGGAGGACCTGCTGGAGGACATCCAGGTACTGCCGGCGCCACCGGGCCCCGCTGCCGCACCCGGGCCCCGGCAGGCCCTCACCGCCCTCTGCGCCCCCACCCCCAGGTGTACATGGAGCTGGAGCAGGGCAAGAACGTGGACTTCTGGCGGGACATGACCGTCATCACAGAGGATGAGATCTCTAAGCTCCGCAAGCTCGAGGCCTCGGGCAAGGGCCCAGGTACGCGGGCTGGGCCGCCTGGGCACACATCTGGGTCTGCTGGGAGCCTCCAGGGGGCAGCATTGGGCAGCAGGATGGCCAGCCCTGCGCGAGGGGCTCTCTGGCAGAGGGAGGGGCTCACCCTGCAGCGCCCACTGGCTTCCAGGCTGAGCGCTTGGCTTCTGTGGGAGCAGCACCGGGGGGCTTTTCGGTTTGGGTTTCAAGCTTTTGCCAGAGGCTCAGTCGATTTGAGGGAAAGCAGGACCCGCCTCCAATTGGCGTGACCGCTTGCAATCTCACGTTCCTTTCTATCAACTTTTTTTCATCAAAACAAGTGCACACATGTAATGGCAAGGGAGGCACGCCCTGCAGCAGTGTCCCTCCCAGCGCTGTGGCTGGGTCTGGGTCTGGGCCCTGACCGTTCTCGGGGGGGCCGTCCAGGGCGCTGTGGTTGGTGAGCAGCCTCCCTGCCCCCGCCCACTTGGTGCCAGGAGCCCCCTGGTCATGACAGCCATGGATGTCCCCCTGACATGGCCCGGTGTCCCCTGGGGGGAGATGGAGTCCACTCCGGTTGAGAGCCACTTCTCTAAAATCTCAGGTAGCCGCGGCAGCCCAACCCCCTGAAGCCGCTGGCTTTAAGGATGTCCAGCTCCTGGGGGTCTTCAGTCCACGTTGCCAAGCTCCATCTCTCATTGCCCGCCCGCAGTGGCCGAGGACATACGCCCTCCGTGCAAATGTTCGCTGCTCAGACGGGGGGTCGAGCAGCTCCCTTCCTCTTAGGAGGATGAGGAATAGCCTCTATCTTTGTAAGCGGGGTTTTGTTTCTCTCAGCCCATTTAGCAGCATGGCTGTAAGTAATTCCAGGGAATGGAAAAATATCTGTCATCAGAAATGCCTGTCCAAAAACATTTCCTTTGGTGGCAGTGGGCTGGCCGGGAGGGCGCTGCAGGGCCCTGGGACAGGATGGGGCAGGGCGCACCCTCCAGTAACTTCTGGGGAGAGGCAGGAAGTCGTGGCGTCTGGAGCACCAGGAAACATCTTCTCCAGCCGGTGGTTGCAGGACGGGTCTGGAACTCCAGGGGCAGGGCCTTTCCCCCCAGCCCCGGGGCTGCAGAAAAGCGTGGAGGGACATTGTGTCCAGGGCTCCCCACGAACCTAGTCCATACCCTCCCTCTGGCGCTTCCCTTCCCCTCCCTCCACCACGTCAGTCACCCCTCTGTGCATTTCCCCTTGTCACATGGTACGGTCAGGGTCCCAGGTGGCTCCAGGTGCCCTCAAAGAGTGTGTGTGTGTGTGTCTTTATTTCTTCTTTTGGCCTGATTCCAGGAGAAGACGGGAGCCTGGAGGTTTGACTCCACGGCTCCGGGAGTCCCACCCACTGGTGCTGTTCTTCGTCCTTTCAAATTAAGTTGGGCCCTTTTCTTTCCTCTCCTCTCCTCCCCTCCCCTTTTCTCTTTCTATTTTTTCTCTTTGTAGCTAGAAAATCCTAACTGTACAATCAGGTGCACAGTAGAAAGTGCACCTGGGCTCCCCTGCACCCTCCCCAGCGGGCCCCTGGGCTCCCCTGCACCTTCCCCAGTGGGTCCTCCCAGTGGGCATCTCTGAGGAGATGCCCTTTCCCACCCGAACAGGGAGGGGCCTCCCATCTCCCCTCCGTGCTGCCGTCTCCTGACATGCTGACCCAGAGGGTGCTCAGCCGGGCCTGTTGGTGGCCATCAGCAGTGGCTTAGCAGCCATGGCTTCCATGGGAGTGGCACCCGTGTGGGCTGTCTGTTAAGGTTGTAGGCTTTCACCGGTGGCTCCGTCCGTTTGAGCGAGTACAGGCCCAGCTTTTGTTTGAGTCAGTGCAGGACGCGGCTCCGCTTGGCTGGGTGTGGGAGTCATCACCAAGTTTTGGTCCCGTGATGTTCCTGCACCTGCTGCAGACTAAGGCCAGGCTGCTTGGTAGCCCAGCGGAGGGTGGAGCCTCCAGATGCTGATTCCCAGCTTGGGAAGGGACTGAGGTCTTTCTTGACCCTGTCTGATCAGCTGTGACCTTTTGTCCACTGGCAGGGGTCGCAGAAGCCGGCTTTGAGCAGAGAACACAAGGTGGTCACCTGCCCCTGCATTCTCCCAGCAGCTGCAGACTGGGCTCCCCTTGGGCCAGCACAGTGCTAGGGAAATGGCAGCCAGAAGCCCAAGGAGGCCCTTGCCCTTGGGAAGCCACGAATCGGACATGCAGGCCAAGGGAGCAATGTGGGGGTCAGGGAAGTCTTCCCAGTAAGAGGGTGGTTCTTGCCGAGCACTGAGGACAGGTGGGATCTAGTAGGCAAATTAGATGAGGAAAAACTTGTTGTTAGAAAGCACCCACATGTGCAAAGGCCCTGGGGCGGACACACACACAGACACATACCCCCCCCACCACACACACACACCACACTAGTGTGTACTATAGAGACAACCAAACGAAAGGAACGGACCACTGTGGGCGGGGAGGGGAAGGGTAGGGTACGGACGGACGGACGAACGTACT